CTATACAAGTTTCGCTTTACACAATGCCGTAATTGGTTTGAGTTCATGGAACTCACAAATAGGTAACATCATTGATGGATGTTTTTACACGGATGATGATGACCTGAACTCTGCAAAGTGATATGAAGATGATTCATACAACAGAGAGACATTCAGGTCTACATGGTCTTTCTGAAAATTATTCTAGATAGAATAAATTACTAGGGGATGTTGCAAGGTAAGCTAAATTTATTATCTATTTAAAGATAATGCGCTGTTTTGTAAACGACTGTTTACGGGTTGGTCTTTAGAAGGTTGGTGATTTTAAAATTCACTCTGTAAGGAACTCTTAGGAGATAACCAATGTACGCAGTCAAGCGTTTAAAGAATTTAAAGCGTACCTGTATATGTTTAATCAGATTTCTTAAAGCGAAATCGATGGGGTCAGTAGACACTTGAAAATGAAGGAAATCATTTTATGAAACACGAAATCCTGTCCAGGTAATCGTCCACTTACTTTTCAGCTATTGAGAAATTATCATGCACTGATAGCCTGTAGCAGGTACCCGATAGTAAAGAGGACTGTAACGGTACTGAGGGTAATTGATAAGTGCTTAGTTTGTAAATGAAGAAATATTGGACTTTCTCAAGAGATGATGGCACTACTACCAGCCTTGCTGAGGAATGAAAGTATTTACTTCTTTTAGTATACTGGTGTAGGTTTATTTCAACTGATAGATACTGAGCCCAAGACCCTATAGTCTCACATAAACTATAGTAATATTCATGTAGTGGTTTGAAATCCAGTCACCCGCATTTAAGTACCTGATAACACTACTGATGTTCTCTTTGAATTTATAGAATGAATGGTTGTTGATCATTTAATAATAGTTCGTCAGAAGACACTGTTTGTGTCAAGTCCACAAACAAGTTACCTCATTCACAGACTGTACATATTCGGTTTTTATGAGCTGCGAACACATATCATCCATTGCCACAGTGAAAAACTTTACAGCTGAGTTATTCGGCCGTTATCTGACACTTCAAACCACATGGTACAGTATAATGTGATTAACAGCTGTAAGACCTCAGTGGTGGATTTCATTCAGTCAGCAATGAAAACCAAATCTCGTAACTGGGCACTTCTTTCCAGTAAGCTTGACTAAGTCATTATTTTTACACGTCGAAATTAGTTCACAAAAAGTACCCATTTAGAAACAGCACGAAATTTCCATGGCAATCCCAGCTCTATGCTAATATAACCGATATTAGGTTTGCATTGGTTATCCTGTTTGTGAACTGTTTGAGACTGTCTGAGATGTAGGAATTACAATTCTTGTTTTTCCTACTGATACTAGTCCGTAATAACAGCGAAAATTAGTTAATAATTCCATTTCAAGATATCACAATAATTCCTAAAGCTATTTAGGCGGTTGTTAACAATAAGATTCAAGGTGCGGTTTTATACTATTTACGACTCGTCTTCTGAAATAAGTATCTGTCACAGTGTATGAGCCTAGTGAGATTATGAACATAGGGATCACAGTTGCTATAAATATCCTGTAAAACATTAAGTTCCGAGTCGGATTATTATATTAACGTTAGAAGCTGCGGATGCTGGAGTACAGTACATACTGGAATGCCAAAAGTAATGAAGATTCTGGAATATACAGCTTATGAGTCTCAAATAAGAAGAAACAAGAGTTAAGATACCACTGTCAGTGGCTATCAACACAATCTCAAAATTCAGTGAAAGAGGGCCTCTAAGCCGTGGGAAATGAACACATGTTTGTACAAAATAAAAAATGTCTTCCTTGGAAATTCAAAGTGGAAAAATTTAATATTAATGGTTTAAAACTAACACTACCCTTTGTCAAGTGATTGGTTTCGAGACTGCTATCCTACACATCATAGTAACCAGGCTGGATAATAAAAGGTTTTATTGAACTGATGATGTCAAGACTTTGGTGTACCTGGGTGGCTGTAGCAATCCTTTTGTTTGTAACGAAATAAAATAATTAAGTTGTATAGAAAGATAGGAGAATACATTGTTAAATCTCGCACAGAAATGCATTGGTTCAAGTTGCCACGTTTCGCCAACGGTCTCCAAACACTGATTCATATTAGCTAGACAACCTCAACATGACATTCAACACTCCTCCCCACATGGCTCAGAATGACAGATGAAAACTTAGTGAACTGGTATCACTTCTTGGTTTGACCACCCTAAACCGTCTTCTAACTTAGTGCTACTTCACCTCACATTGCACGTGGAGGTGAGCGATGAGTTGGTATGTGTAGTACATGTTGGAGCCATGTGAGTTGGTGAAGATCGACAGCTTCATCACCTGATTTGTTTTCCTTACCCGGTACCCGACTTCTAACCTAAAAATTACTAACACGGTGATTCCACCATACGCGGGATATGCTACGAAGACATCTACGACCTATAACCTGAAGCGTCTGAAGATATCTAAGCCAATGTGAGAGTTGGTGTTTTGAGAAAGCTTCAGCATTGGGTACACGACGCTCATTAGTTTGTTGTTTGCAGTTCCCAATGAATGCATGTCAAAGCAAAGTTGTTTTGAGTAAAAGCTGTCTTGTTTTGTTACATATTCATTGTGAAATAGAAATACCGAGTAACTGACCTGTACTCCCTCGACATATTTTACTTTCAACGACCTAATCTCCCAACCTTATGTCAGGAGAGAGCAATCTGTATAGCAATGCACTCGGCCTATAGCGGATGCTTGGATATCTCGCTGGCTCAGGCGATGACGCAGTATGGCAAATGCGAAATGGAATTTCTGTATCCAAGTAGAAAAGTTTTTAGCAACCAACTTGTTGTGGGTGGCGCAACCTCCCAGGTAAGTGAAGTAGCTATGCATTCTACCACTTCACTCCCAACCTAAAGCGGAGATTATTTGAAAGGCCGGTTCTGGGTTGTCTTTGTACATTCGACAAGTGCAAAACGCAAGCAAAACATACTCATATCGCTGCTCAGTGCATTCATAAGATTGCATTTCAACACCATCTTCGCGTGCGAAGTGGTTTCGTCTGTATACTTCAAGTCAACATAATGCCAACCAAGGAATAGGTCAGATGTACCTAGGGTTATGTCCATTATTACATCTATAACGAAGCTAAACAGGAACGGTGTCAGCAGGTATCCCTAGGGGACATTACTGGTTGTAGTTATTTCAGAAGACAACCCTTCATGAGCCCTTACACTAGTGCATAAGTTCAAGCAGAGAATCTTGAGTAGCACTATCTGCTCACCTGGTACTCCCTTCACAATCATACATTGCCACCAGACCTGTCAGTTGACAAATTCCTTTCCGATTAGAAACAGCTTTCTCAGTTTCATTGTTAGTTCAAGTACCGGCATTTATATTCCATTCAGGTTCGGGCAGGATGCTAGGCAAATGAATTATAGTTGTATGCGAAATTATTTTCGAGCTAAAATCGTAGTGTGCCGATTGCTTGGTGATGTGATGGAAAGCATCTGCTCACAAAGTTAACATGCAGCTGTTAAATATCGTTGAATAATGAATACGCAATAGGTTAATTATGCAAAAGCACTACTGACTGATTAAAAAGCTTCCAGATAAATCCCACCCATGAAATTGCTTAGATGTGAATGCTAATGCTAACATAATCTAGAAATAACGAATGAATCATATATATATATATATATATATATATATATATATATATATATATATATATATATATATATATATATATACGAGTTGTAGTTTAGGGTGACGACGATGTTGTTTGCTTAATGACCAGACATCTACAACAAATATCAAAGCTCAGGGTACACCGAATCATAGTACATAGTGAAACAGTATTATTTAGTGGATAATATTTCGGAAATGGTATGAATATGGACAATAGTTTATACACTGAATCATTATGTATATCATGGTTTAATTTCTAATCATTTCCATTAAGAAGCTTGGATCAGACTCCATTGCCAAACGCTGGAATTATTTATTTCAAACACCCTGAGATTTGTACAAATGTAACTTACTGAATTAACGTTGTTCTTCTGAAAGTAAGTACAATAGTTATAATACTTTCTAACTAACTATCAGTAAAGGTAGAACATATTCATCGATTTGTAGTGGAAAGCAATCATAAGTGCATACATGCCACATATCAGATCGAATCCTCTTTAAGCTTCGTACTAGAATACATAATGCCCACACGTGCTTATCACATATACACTTACATCACGTTATTAGCTGGTGACCATAGAATGTATTGTTATGGTTTGAAAATATGTAACCATTTACCATGAAATACAGGAGAAATTCACTTCTTTGTGTTATTTTCCTTTTCGTGTATGCAATGAATGCCAGTATTCATTTACAGATTCACTACACTGAAGCAATCCTATCACCCCTTAAATTCTGCTTCTTTCTCGGCTGTTTGTCTGACCATCTCTACTGCTTATGAACACAATTGTTGTGTCTATGATTGAACATTCCGATACGACCTTGAAAAAGCGTGAAGTGAACAAATCGTTCATTAGATGATAGTGATACAGACAATCGATCACATAATGATCTAGGTGCGTTTTTTGGCCAATAAAAAGAATTCAAAAAAATACATATCTACATAAAATTGTCCACGAGATAGACGTAAACACATACATGTCGATGCGCGAAAGATATATTGGAAGAATACATGTCTTCGTTTGTAGCTTGTTCTCGTCGCTATAGTCATCGTTGGTGAGATCGTTTCGATCTACTTTGGAAGTGTTCCTCATCCATCTGTTGATAGGAAAATGTTAAACTGAGAGAACATACCTTTATGTAACAGGTGGATTTATTTTGTTCTCTCTGTAGTTCATGTTTCTTCTGCTGTTTCATCAATCATTTCAACCATCCATTTTGTTTTATTTCTACTTGTAAAGAGGAAATTCTACTCAAAATTAAATTTGATTTTGGTCATTATTACTTTTTATTCACCATCTATCATACTCAATACAATAAATTAAATCAATAAACATGTTATATGGTGGTCCACTCGGTACTTATCTCAGTGGTTTATCATCCTCTTCATTGTCCAGCGCTTCTCATCTCACATCACCAAGTTCAAATTATACCTCACCTAATAGTTTAAGCAACTCAAATTACTATTCAGGAGGTATTGGTGGGCTAAGACGTAGCAGTTCAAGATACCGGAATTCTGGAGGCAGTAACTTATCCACAACATCTACCCCATTAAACACTACTACTATCAGTAGTAGTAGCACAACAAGTGGAAGCAATCCCTATTCATCATACTATACTCCACCAGTAAGAAGAAAATATGGGACACCTGAAGTGAGTTTATGGACAGTGTACATTTATGGTATATTTTTAGCGTAAATTTAAACTTTATAACATAGTGAAAAGCAGGTGATGATTACCATACATTTCACCAGTTGTTCCTACAGATATTGAATCACCTTAGAACTAGCAGCGACTTTATTACTATTACTATCAACCAACATCAAATTAATTCTCAAAAGTTTAACACTGTTTCTGGTGTGTAGTGATGTTATAAACCTAGGCTTAACTAAAGAGTTTTCAGTGGCACTGAAATGCTTAACACTTTAATTGTTCGAGACAGGTGTTTAAAGATTTGCTTTTGGTTAAATGTTCTATCTTGTTAAAGTTTTGTTTAAGGAATCTGGTGCACTTACATTTCATTCACTTTGACAACTATCATGTGTTCGTATTGATGGAAAGTAATAGAAGCGCAAAAACACTGATGAGTCTTTTTTCTTACTAGCAATCAGATTAAAAGCAGCTGTCGATTGACGCTACTCATTATGTAAGCTGATCATATGATGAGACATTATAGTCACGTATACAGCACATTCAGTGTGCCTTTTTCAACTGTTATCTTGAGTCAACTTGAAGAAAATATGTCTTCAAACTGGTTTTAGTTTCTGTGTTTATTTGAAATAATAAGATAGCACTCTATGATTGAAATTTAAGCATTATTGTATCAAGGCTGTTTCCAGAATGATGTGAAGTATGAATTTTCAATGGTCTCATCATGTTGCTTGATTGCATTTACCTAGTCTGTTTTGAGCATCAGGCACTTGTCTGCGCTACACCTACAATCATGTTTAGTATTCAAGACTATGAGAAAACTGGATTTTTTCTCAAGGAGATTCGGTAGATTTCTTAGTGAACTTAAGCCTTTGTATGTAGCCTTGTTATAGAAATATTTTTTATATTTTGACGTCTGCATATAAGTAGACATCAACGTACCTTATCTCTTGTATTAATTTATGAATGGATTCCATTAATTTATGTGAACTATGATCAAGATTTGACCGGATAGTATTGCAAATATTGGGCGTTGAGTAAAAGGTTGACATTGAATATAGATTGGACTTCTGTAAGTCACAAAGAGTTTGAAGTGAAATAATTCCAACGTATCGCACGGAAGTCTGATCCAAGCATCTTAAAGGAAATAATTAAAATTGAAATACCAAAGATGTATAAATGAATCTAGAGACATGTATTTCATTCCCGTGTCCAATACTGTCCGTCCAACACGAAACACCACCCAGTATAAATACTAGTCTGCCAAACTACGGCTATCTCAGATAGTCAAATGACAATAAAAAGAATTGTTTATTCAGCGCATTCTATGGATTCTACTTATCGGGTAATTGACTGGTTAACAGGTGATATCTACACTCAATACATTAATAACAGGAATTATTTTTAGCTTTAGATGAAAGGTTGGGTATTATCATATTTCTGCAGTAAGACAAATAAAGAAATAAAACTTCGGGGGATAGTGCATAAGAGGGACAGAATGGTGCAATAATACCATCTTATTAACATAGTTATACATTTAAATGTCAGTGTCTTCATATCTATATGCATACATACAAAGCGAGTAAAGGAAAATAAACACTAACATGGAGTTAGAGAAAACGATCTTCACTGATTAGGGTGTATGTGAGGTTAAGAAATTTCACATTCTAGGAAGTGAATGATTATTCTAACGGCTATGCTTTATTTCGTTTTCTGATCGTTCGACCTTTAGATACGGATCAAAGTACTTCAGTACTCCAAGTATTTAATTACTGACTGACATACTTGAAACTGGTAAAGACTAGCAGTGTCACTTTTTCATTCCGTAAGTTGACCTACATGTTTAATTGTCTTTTCTTGGAGGGGAGGGAGGTGTCAAGCTACTTACCTCCGTATTGTAATACGTAGTATTCAAGTTCCTAGGTTCTCAACACTAAAATTTGGTATTACTTAATAGCCGAGATTGAATTCATTACTTAAGACTACATGAATAATAGCTTGTTATGCATCACTTAGTCATATAAGTAGCTGGGTACTATTGTAGATAATATTTATTCAGTTGACTGAATCCTGTGAACATTAGTAATTATAAAGTATAGAGTTTGATCCAAGTACAACGTTTGCCACTAAGTGATTGTTGGGAAGACTTATGGTACCTCTTATCACAGAAAATGTTTGTAGATTATATTTTCACTGTCACACATACAAAGCTTATTAAATGCTGACACCAAGTGAATATTGAGACTCGGTTGCACAACTTCATTTGAAAGTAAGCGTTTTACTATATTTAGTTCAAACAACTGCAAGCATCGACATTTAAAGTTGTGTAAAGCGATTTAATAAGCAATACTATCCGCTGGCTTCTTATGAAAAAGTACATGAAAGCAGTAAAATGCAGAAAGTTTCTAATTCATCCAAATGATGAATGCATTTAAACTGCTAAAATTTACCATATACTGTATCAAAATACACTTATTAAATCGATAGTGCCTCAGATATATCTACATTTTATCATAAAAGTCGTAGCATTGTATATTCATAATCCTCTTATATCCTTTGATTTTTTCTTACAGACCTTTTCAAGTATTATTATTTCAGGTTTTTGTTCTTTTATTTCATCGACTTCTGACTAGATGTGGTTGTGTTAACTTTGATCAACTCGATAGATACATGTCAGCACCATATGCCTAGTTTATATGAGCAGTTACGTAACATTATGGAAAACAGAAACCCGTCATAGAGGTCAACTCATTTTGAGTTGTGGTTCGGAGTGATTGGTTCAAGTTTTCACATGCTTACATTCCCTGGCATTACTTACGGTCAAAGAGATTTTAATACCATGATTTCTTCTGTCAAGAAGAAATACAACTGAATAGTAATACTAAAAGAGTTGGACTTCAAGATCAACCAGTTACACAGGTAGAACTGTGAACAATATATGTCTGCAGAGTCGCTCAGTTGATAAAACTGTTTTCCTTTCTATTTGATATTTCTCTCATGAACAAAGCGAAACAGAAGTATACTGTTTTGCATTGCACAGTCTATACCCTTATGTTTTATGTGTCCTATTCAAATATTTTGAACCAGAGTGCTCCCCTGCTGCATCCATCTAACAGTCGGAAAATACCTTTGCAGGAGGATATCGGGCAGATTACTTCTAATTGCAAACTACCAACAAGATAACTTTGTATTCACTTTTTAAGGAGTAATTACATGATTTAATTATACACTGTTGGTGCACAACTAAGTGGGAATTCGACAAGGTCATTTAATATGTTGAATGACACTTACAAAGTTGATACTTTCTAATGTTATAACTACGGAACTTCACAAATCAGTAACAGTTAGCTTAATTCAGTGCTCTCTGAAAAATCCAGTTAACTGAAAGTATTAAGTTTTTAGCGCTTAAACTAGTGGTTCTATACCACCATCCATTTAGTGTCATACAGTGAGGTAAATTACTTACATTTTGAATGTAAGTATTCAGCCTTGTGATAATAATCATTAACTTTAATCCACAACCACAGAAAACTTCAGCAAATCAACTGCAAAAATGAATAACCTTGTTAATTCATCACGGAGAGAAAATAAATGAAAAGAAGCCAAACCAATTCATATAGCAAGAAATTTTGAAAGCAGTATAAGTTTCTTTTGAGGTTCCAAGAAACTGATCATGGTAAAGTGCATTTTGTTTTGGATATTCATTTGAGAGTGGAGCAGTAATACCTTTTTCATTTTCAGTAATTTAAGTATACATCACCATATTCCCAAATATCCACGTGAATGATGTCAACCACAATAAGAAGACTGATGATTAGTGAATCACTTGAACTACCTTTCTTATCAGTCACATAGATTTCTTTGTCATAGTACTGTTTCATAAACACGTTATTGTTTGATCATGCTTCATCACCTTGACTTTTCATGGTGTAAACAAGATTTGTTAAATTTTAAGTAATTTTCTAACCATTCAGAGTACTATATCCTATATAGTACTATAACCATCTTGTGCGTCATTGAACTGGGAATCTATTTAACAATTTCTCTGAACTCAACACCTAATTATATGGAATCAAACTATAGACAGAATTTCAGTTGTTAGTTGACAAATTCTTTCACTTATACGATAGGGATAGAGTGTAATACAGTGAACATATGAAGCACACAGATGCAAATAAGAGAATTTGGTTATCACAAAAATGAAGTTATTTTGACAAAATACTCAGAATATTTATGTGAGTGCTAATATATTGTGTCATATTTAAGAAGGCATCTGTAGCACATTTCTAAGTGTTTGTATGTATATAAGTACAGCGTCGTTGGAAAAAGAAGGTGATATTCTGGTCTACTAACGGTTTGATTGATTGACTTATAGTTATGACTGAATAGATTAAACACCTTAAACTGTGGCTTTACGTGTCATAAGTCAATCTGTAGCAAGTCATTAACTCAGACTTCAACATTGTTGACGCTCATCTATAGCTATGAGGAAAACCTTGTCCTTTTCAAAAGCAGGTCACTGCTAGGCTCTTCAGGTCACCCATGAACAGAAATGAGAAATCGGAAGGATTTAACTGAATTAAGTGATTTTTGTCAAACATTCTTTTTAAAATGAAGCACTTAATTTGGTTGAAAGAATTCTTTATTCATTCTGCCGTTTTTGTTTTATGATTTGCAAGCATACGATAAAATAAACCTTTACCCTTTTGAGAATATATCTCCATATTTATCAAAAAATCGAAATGCACTCAGCAACTCTGTGCAAGTCCCCACAGTAGGCATTGAACCACACTTAGCTATCCAGACCTCGGTAGGCGGTGTAGGGTTAAAACCTGTAACCCGCCAACTGCCCAAAACAATGAGCCACAGCTCCACACCACATTTACAATATCCATGTGTGCATAATTTATGATTTATAAAGGTAACCTGAAAAAAGAAGATATGGAGCGGTCACAGGTTTTCTATCGAAATTATCTTCACAGTGTAGCTGCTTTATGGTGGAA